GTTTTATATATATGCGTGTGCGTATTTTGTTATAAGAATTATGAAAATATCTTAAATTTAATGAAAATTAATCTTTGTTCTCGAATTCTAATAATTTTGTAGAAGATAAAAATATTGTTAATTACATAAGTTATTTTTTTCAAATTTACCTGAGCTGCATTTAATAATTCTGTATCTAAATATTTTGTATTTTGAAATTTATTCACTAAGTCTCTCCAATCTTCAAATGGCCTTGCATCTATAATGGCTTGGGCTTTTTTTGAAGAACATTGGGACATCAGAAGCAGTTCCGCAAGTATGGCATTCCGCATAAATTCTAAAACTGCCTTTTTATCACCTGTAAGCTCATTAGATATCTCTACATCCGAATCCTCATCACTGTAAAATAATTACATATGTTTATATGGCGATCATATATTTAAATTTAATTGTGAATACAATTTGTTACAAAATAACATACCTATTAAATACTTTGTCTTTGTAATTTCCCTCATCTGAATCGATATCTATATCCTCGTCTTCATTTAATTTTCTTCTTTTCATTTTATTAGTTTTTGCAGACGCTTTCAAACTCCGTTTCCTATGTTTTTTAAGTGTTTCCTCTGCCTCCTCGACGTTCCAATTGGTACTTTTAAGTACTTCTTGTATATGCTAAAAAATGGTTCATATCATTTTTTTTTTATTTAATATTTAATATAGTCACAAATATGTTCAGTTAGCATTTCAGGTAACAATAAGCTAATATTATTTTGATAATATAATATTAAATAATATCAAATACGATAACCATGATCGGTCAAAGTGTTTCAAATAATATATTATATATTCTTTATTAAATTTATTCTAGATATGATTGCGCGCTGACTAACTTTCGGACTTTCAACACAATTTTGAAACGCTAATAATCCCCTAAATTAGATTAGAAAGTAAGATCTTTCTTTTTAATCCAATTTAGAGGGGATTATTAGCGTTTCAAAATGCTTGTGTTGAAAATCTGAAAGTTATCAGCGCGCAATCATATCTGGAATAAATTGATTTAATAAAGAATATATAATGTAATAAATATTAATTAAAATTTTCGAGCGATTGAGAGCAATAATAGCGCAGTAGTTGGTGCATTTGATCTTAACAATAGTACGTTTCAATTTTTACATAATAAATCGATCGAATATTTCAGTTTCATTCAAGCCATCTTCAGCGATGTATTTAATTACATGTTCTTGGTTAAAATCAATGTTATGTATTAAATCGAAGAGTGTAAGTAAGGAGAGTCTTTCAATTCCAAATTAAGAGAGTAACTGTCAAAAAGCTATGCGGCTAAATGATTGCTAAAGGAAAAGAATTAGCAAAAGATAATTGAAAAGGAAAGTGAATCTTAAAAAGACTTACCTACTGCACTCTTTGTATATCTGGAGGACTTTATAATAATATGTGAGAAACGAAAATTAAGAAATATCATTTGATACGATTATGGATATTTCAATATCGAATTAAGTTCGTTATACAAATGCATTGAAATATGATATTGAGTAATCATAAAATAAAATAAACATTTAACATTTAAGAAACATGAATCTTCAATGTACATTATGTAGATAGTTAAACATATGGTAGTCTATATTATATAGATATTCAAAAATCATAGATTAAAAAATTATAATGATGTAATGTAATTTTGACAAGCCGACAATTCAAATTTTATCGATAAATTAATATTGAAAGTCAAAATTATTTGAAACATCTAACTTTGACCGAGCATGACTTTCTTTATCGTATTTTATGTATTCACACATACAGTCGTGCTTAAAAATATTAAATAATATTTTAACGAAAAATGACGACAAAATAAGAATTTATGATGTCAGTTCATTACCTGGGCAGCTTTATCTCGAGTATCAAATATAATAAAGAAACATTCTTAGAGAAATTCATCATACTGAAAAAAATCATGTCATAACGTTACATGATGAAATTATCTATTTAAAACATGTAAATCATGTATTGGATTGTTCCAAATTAGTACGTGATTTTTTTTTTAAATGATGTAATTTGAAAAAATCACATATTAGAAATAATTTCATCTATTATTTGATTTTATATTTATCGAATTTTGAATGATAGAAATAGAAAAATTAAATGATAGAAATAGAAAAAAAAAGAACATATATATCATGTGACTTTTCAAAATACGTAAATCACATACTGATTTGGAACAATTTTCATTACGTAACTTACATGTTTTAATTTTTAATTACATGATTTCATCATGCAACTGTATGATGTGATTTTTTTCAGTAGGGTAATATTGAAGTGATTAATTATTTATTTTGGGTACTATAAACAATTGTTTAGTGTTGCTTTAATACTCAAAATAAATAATTTCAGGTATTAAATTAAAAATTTTATAAAGATTTCACCTGTATTTAGTAAAAAAGATATAATGCGCCTTCTATAATAAGCCATTAGTCATAAATCAGAAGTCAGAGCTAAAAATTGATCTGCAATCGGTTATCAATTTTTATCTTCTGACATCTGATTTATGATTAATGGTTTATATTATAGAAGGCTCATAAAAATTTAGGCAGTATAATATACTAGTTAAAATTTTAACTAAAAATTAATTTAACTAAAGATACTTAAAAAATTTGAATTTGAAGATACTTACTGTTGCATCATTCTGTGGATACAAAGTTGTCAGGTACTTTAACTTATTCTCTTTACCTTTGGCATTACAGTCTGAACTTAGTTTAACTGGACTACCAATATCACTATCACTATCTTCAATGCGATTTACAGATTTACGGCGCATTTGTATATCAGGAGATACCAAATTACTGTCCTCGTCCGCTAAAATTAGAGAAAAAAAAAAAATAAAACATATAGGTCTTTCACTCAGACGCCAGATAAGATAAAAACAATTACAAATTATATATCACATACAGTATTAAAAATTTATATAAATAATTTATATAAATTGATATAAAAAATAAATAATTTATATAATAAATAATAATAATAAATATAAATAATAATTTATATAAAAAAATTTATATAAATAATTATAAAATTTGTATCAGGATGCAAATGCGCAGAATTGTTTAAAAATCAAAATTTATATCATGATATATTAAATTGCTAAATTAAAACATAAATTAAAACTGTTAGCGAAAATATAGAAAAGCGAATACGACTATCAAGGATACCAATTATGCGCGTGCATCGATTGACAAGACAATAGCAAAAAGATATGAGAGTTCTTACACAAGTTCATGGCCTTCGTTTGTTTTTTTTGAAAGCGGAATTGTCGCAAGAGGCTGGAACTACTCGTGTCTGTTTTGGGCGAATTCGATTCGGACATCGCGTCAATCGTGCGAAGGACGCTGACAGGTATACATTTTTCCAGGATTAACTTTCGGAATCGTCTGCCAGGTGCATTCGGTGCGGTTCGTCGAACGCTGCTAAGCGGGATTATGTCCGTTACATAGAACGTAGATTGTCAAATCAGCAGAAAGCAGCTCAGACTGCAGAGTGCAGCGCCGGCTGCGAGAATAAAATTATGCGTGATTTTCACGTAAGATACTTTCAACCGAAATGTTCCAGATTCAAGGAAATGTAACGGTATCGGAAATCTAATAGGAAGGAAAATAGACATACACTTACAATGACAAATAGAAGAAATTCATGTTTGTATGACAGAAAACGGGACTGAATTATAAATAAGTATCGTCGTTCGTGATGTTTGTATTTTAATTCAATTTATAATTCATACAGTATAATTAGCACGCATTACAAAGAAAATTATCCAAATAAAAATTAACATCAATGAATCGAGATAAAAAATGTTAAAAAAATTTAATATTAGACAGCAAACAATTTCATTGATGCAAGATATATATATAAATAATAATAGCATACGATATAATAGAAGGGATATCTAGAATTATTTAATATTTAATTGGTGATCAATTTATAAAGTAATATTTGATTATTCTTATTATTGTTGATTATTATTATGTTATTTAATCGTTACAAAAATAATTAATTTTTTATTAGCATTCAAGGCTTAACATAATTAGATTATAGATAATAATTCTATTTTTAGCAATTATTCCAGCTTAATTAATCGCTGATTAATCAGTTTAATCAAAATCGCTCTTAATGTTAATCGGAATTTTATGCCCATATTCAAGGAAGCCTTACATTTAAGGCTTTCTTAAAATTATCTTCAGATACTCTACGAATTATTTCATTGGCTACTGAGCATCTAAAGATAAATTTAAGGAAGCCTTAAGTATAAGATCTGACTATGAATACGGACATTAGACTGTACTATAATAAGATGATGAAGGAAATATTAGGAGAAAAATAAATATTAAATATTAGAAATTAAACAAATAGGAATAAAGATTAAACGTTGTGCAGAGTATATACATAAGATATAAAACACATTTATTTGCATGTAATATGTATTATTAATCTCTTTTTAATTAATTGTTTGGTTTTATTCTTTCTTTTATGTGTATAGGGCCGTTTTTATATATTTTTATATTCAAGATCGTTTTAAATTCTGTCTTGAGGTATCACGAACTGATCAGAAAGCCGCGTTAGCGACGGCTTTTTTAAAATAAGAATCGACTATGGCGGTATTCATAATCAAGTCTTATTTCAAGACTTGATTATCTTGTCTTAAGTAATGTCTTAAGACGTTAATGCAGCCTTCTGATTGGTTTGTGACTTCTTAAGATCGTACTTAAGACGGTCTTGAATATAAGATCTCTGATTATGAATACCGACCTACGAATACAGAAGGTTGAAGTCGCCTCAAAAGAAGCCGTCCTGTCATCAACAACGTTTTTCACGGCGACTACCAGCAACGCCTGATTGGCCGATCGCGAGGTGCGCGGGAAAATGAAACAGTGCACCCGGGCGCTTTGCCATGCCGCTGGCCGCTCTCGAGTGCGCGTGATTCAAGGCCGACGGCCACACACCTGCACCGTCGTCGTCTGCTTCACCGCTTCCACCGTTTATTTGTATCAATTGCATCTGTCGTAATCTGTATTCTGTCATTTTGTCACGAGACGCTGAGAGCACCGTTATGTTCAACGGCGGATAAGTGTATTGAATAGCACTGGGTACCAAGGGAAGCAAGAATGTTGTTGTATACGTTGATCGGTGGCTACATGCTGACCTCGATGATACTATTTAAGTACCCCACCCTGCTGCATAAAAAGAAGAAGGTGAAGTTTTTGTGTCAGCACATTAGCCATCGGGGCGGTAAGTCATCCTTGCGTTCCTCCCTTTGTTTACCATCCGCAAATTTGTAGAATTTGCGATGAATTTTATTAATTTATTCTTACGTATGAATCGTTTTAGGTGCCGGCGAGAGTTATGAAAATACGATGTGCGCGTTCAAACGGTTAGTGCAAATATTGTTTACTCAAGACTCCCCTTCATCCAAGACTGCGAAAATATATTGTCAACCTGTGCTAATTGCTGTGATATTTAATCACCATATATATTACATGGCAGCATGAAGTAAAAATGTTTACATGTGATTTCACTTTAAATACTTAACTAAAAGTAATATAGTAAGGAAAATTTAATGTTTTTTTGTTTTATATCAATTTTCGTGTCCTCACTTTTACATTGATATTTTGAATTCTTATAACATTTATTTTTAATATATAAAAATTTATATGGTATATATGCATATATTTGTAGCATAAAATGATAAAAGAAATTTATTTCAATATGAGTTATTAATTTCTATATAATGTAATTTATTTATTTATTTATATACAAGTAAGAAAAGAAAATCAAAATAATGTTTTTATCAATTTATATAACTCGAAAAAAGTAAGATACAAATGTATCTAATAATACACAAGGTATCCCATTTTAATCGATCATCTCAAATATCTCTTGAACAATGCATTTTATGGAAAAAGTTTCAAATAAAAGTTTTGAGACTTCGAGGGAGACATAAGATGGTACCATTGACTTATCTTTGGGTGACATCAAGGTGAGAGCAAGATCATTTTGAATTTTTTAAATGGAACTCTCCATTTTTTGTTACATATTTTTGTAGCTTACTTGAGTTAACTTACCTTGAGAGTTTTCCAACACTATAATTAAGTTCATTTTCATTAAATACTTTTCGAATTATAAGACTTGCAAGTTACAACACCACTGGCATCACCATTATCCAAGGTATCGGTGTCCGACAGCTAAAACCTCTTGAATGTTATTCAAAATCATGATCTGAATAACATTGGTCAAGATCAAGTCTATTGGAGATTGTTCCTCTTATTTTCATTTTTGCACTAAATTCATTTCTACGTAAAAACTTGACTCTTGACTAATATTATCCAGGTCGTGATCCTGAACAATATTCAAGAAGTTTTAGTCATCGATCAAACACCTTGGGTAATACTAATACTGACGATACTGTCTTTCAAGTCTTTCAAGCCTTTCAAGCCTAACTCGCAAAATACTTAATGAAAATGAACTTAATAATAGTGTTTTGGAAAACACTATTATTAAGTTACAAGTAAGCTACAAGAATATGTAATGAAAAATTGGGGGTTTCATTTAAAAAATTCAAAGTGACGAAGTTCCAAAACTTTGTCTAAAATATTTTTCCTTAAAATGCACTGTTCAAGAGATATTTGAGGTGATCGATTAAAATGAGACACCCTGTATGTATGTATGTATATATATATATATATATTTTTTTTTTTTTTTTCATTGGATTAAAATATTCTCTTGACTATCTTAATATTTATTTGATCATGTCTGCTGATTAATATTTATGATTATAAATAAAATTGATTAAAATTATGCCAATATCATATTTTATCAATTGTATACGTAAGTAAGAAATCAATATCTTTGCTTGCAATTGCAGAGCAGTGGGTATCGGAACACAAATGTTGGAATTAGATTGTCATCTTACAAGAGATGGCGAAGTAGTAGTCTCTCATGATCAGAATCTTTTACGCAGTACTGGTATAGATAAGAATATCGCTGAATTGGATTACAAGGATTTACCACTTTTAAAGCAATGTTTACCAATTGATTTTGATCCAGGTATTGTTATTTATTATTTAAAAAAACAACTTAACGAACAGAATTATTTAAGAACTATAGTTGAACAGATGTGGAATATGTCGGTTCGGCAAAGGAAGAGGATCGACGATTTGCATTGTTACGAGAAGTATTTGAAGCATTCCCCAATATCCCCATTAACATTGATATTAAGATCAATAATGATCGGCTTATATCGAAAGTTTCCGATCTTATAAAAGAATTCAATAGAGAAGAATATACAGTTTGGGGAAACTTTAGTGATGAAGTTACACAGAAATGTTATAAAATGGTATGTTAATACCTATTAAGCTTCTGTAAAGATCAAATTAATACATTTTGGAAGAATTGAAATAATACTTCGTAAAAAATGGTAGTAATAATAATAATTTTGAAACTGAAACTTGCTAAGATTTTTGTGCTATTATAAATGCTGATATTTAATATTTAAATGACATATACAGGATAGTAAATACTCTAAAAAATTTTAAAGGATCCTCCTACAAATTCAAAAGAAAACTTCATATGACCATATTTTCCAAAATTTTGGGGAAAAACGAAACTTTTCTTCAATTTTGACATCCTGAATTTTTAAAATTAAGCCGTCGATATAAAATTATATGAAATTTTATGAAGTTTTCGTCTTGAATATTGAGTACTTAGTATCTATTGCGTATAAAGAATGCCGTACAATTCTTATGAAAAATGACATTCGGCGAAATTGGAGGGTTATAACTTCGCTATTTTATAGTGTATGTGATGCTGATTAAAAGTTAATATTATTACATTTTCGCAATTATAATATAATAATTAATATTATTACAATCTTCGCAAAAATTAAATTGTTTTATTTTTGTTGTATTGTTTTTATTTAAAGTCAGATAAAATTTCTAAATCGTACGTATTTAGTTAATCCTTGCATAGATCAAATGTATCATAAATGTGAGAGTAGAAAAAAGTATTTTTACATTTTTTTATGAGAACACGTTGTGACGATTGCTTTCATTTCCAATAAAGTGGAAGAAGAGATATTGAAGACAAAATTTTCGACTAAAATAACAAACGTTTATAAATCGATTTTTTGTATATTTGCAAATAAGATAAATAAAATATATTTTAAAATATATATCTTATTTGCAAAAACTGATTTATAAATAAAGATATATTTTAATAGGAAATTTTTTCAATATTTCTCTCCTCGCTTTACTGGAGGTGAAAGGATGGAATTGAAAGTTCGAATTATTAAAATACTTTCATTAAAAAAAAAATTATTTTTTTTATTCTCATATTTTTAAGATGTTTTACTATTAGAAGTAATAATCAAACATAGAATTTGTGAATTTTGTCTGTCTGAAGAAGTTGAATGATTTATTTGCAGAGATCATAGCAATGTTAATTATTTTTTTTTTATGGAAGAAACTTTCAAAAAGCACTCCTGATTATGTCGCGTTCTCTCTCCCTCAACAGAACAGATGATCTCCTCATTTCCTGAGGAAGCAGTTGGTCCAATCCCGCGAAATTAATGCAGCTTTCTGTGCAGGGGCTGTGTTGAATTTTTATTCACTAAAATTCCTGTCGTAGTCATTCTCCAGAATAAAGAGGGAAGGGCACCGGAAACTCACAAGTATTATGCAATATCCTAATTGTGTGTCGAATATATTGTCCTCCTTTAGAGGAAGGGCGGAGAAGTTCCAGAGAGATCTCTTTTTAATCTTATTCTCTTCGGATCGTCCCAGAAATACGATAGAGTGCGAGGCATTACACTTCATCACTCCTATACGCAAGGACTAGACAGACAGATGTGTCTGCCTACCTACAACTGGTGGCTTTGCCCGGATAGCTCGGTGGTAACTACGACTATTCGTGAGGGATATTAACTTTTGATCAATACTAGATAAACTATAAAATAGAGCCAATTTCGCTGTAAACCATTTTCCAGAAAAATATGTGACTTCCTTTATGCTACATCCTTTATGCTTTATGTTAATTTTTTTGCTATTTTTAAGAATCTTGATTTTTGTTGTAGAATCCAAATGTAAATTTACTGTTTTCAATGCAACGTGTAGCAATGTTGATTCTTCTCATGTATACTGGCTTGTTACCATTTGTACCACTAAAGGAAACACACCTTGAAATTTTCTTACCTTCAATTTATTTGCGGTAATATAATTGGAATTTTTATGTCTTTGTTACAATGGAATTATGGAAAGAAACATTTCTTATAAAAAAGTTCTTTTGATTCTAGAAAAAAAGGAGAACCGAGTCCAACATTTTTACCACTGGAAAAGTTGGTAGTACGTACGATTAATGTACTATTAGTGAGGCCATGTTTATTTAATCATTTAAGAGCACGAGGTATACATGTAAGTATATATAATTAATCATCTGATTGATTTTTAATTGACTTATATTTTCTTATAGGTTTATTTTTGGGTCTTGAATAAAGATGAAGAATTCGAAAGAGCATTTAATTTGGGAGCAACTGGTGTAATGACAGATTATCCAACAAGATTAAAATTATTTTTAAAGAAACGTACAATAGAATGAACCGGATAGATTTCTAAATAGTCACAGATAATACAAATTATTAAAAAATTTACGAAGTTATTTATCTGGGAAGAGATATCTGCCACGATAAGCCAGAAGATGTATA